ACTTGTCACCCCTTCCTTCGCACACAAACGAAGGCGGACTGCAAGGGGGGGGGGGCAATTCCACTTACTCGAGTCGTGTGAGCGATGAAAGGTGTGTCAATGCTGGGGCGAGCGCCGCCATGCCCGTGTCTCCAAGCTGATTGTTCTCCAGCCTGCAGCAGAAGATACAATGAAGACACAAAGTGGCGGGCAACATGGATGAGATGAGTACTGATGTGCCAAAGACAATGGGCGAGAGGGAAGATGTGATTGATGCATGTTCTGCCGTTTTGTGTGGCAGCATTGTGAAGTGAAGATGGGACGCGTCGCTCCATGGGCCAGACACGCAGGCAGGTACGGGGGCTCACTTGAGTTCCTCGATGGTGGCGTTTCGGTGGAGCGCAATCGCGAGCGCACGTGCTCCAACTTCCTGAAGACCACACAGATCCAACCTACATCGTGTGTGCGTGTGCGTGCGGGTGTGGGTGGGTGTGTTCGCGCGCGTGTGTGTGTGTTGGGTCGGGGGAAGGACGTGAGGAGAGGGGCCAGTAAATGGCACGTGGAGAAGGCAGCGCACCCTGTGAATCACGCCAAGCAAGCATTGCAGTGCAGCTGTGCAGCATGGCTCATGACTGTGAGAAGTGACTGAATGACTGTCTGCAGTCGCTGCACACAGGAACAGGAGATGGGAGTAGAGGGAGCTCACATGGCGGTTGCGTCGCTCTGCTTGTCTGCGACTGTGCGAATGATGGTCTTCACCTCTTCTTCCAACTCGCCCTCCTCCATCAACGCCTCAAGCCTTGCTTGCCATCCCTCGTCTTCTTCCATCATGGAGGGGAGGGGGCGTGAGGCAGGGACGGTGTGTTGTTGTCCGTTTCAGCGGGTTGCGTTAGCTCTGTCTTGCTTGCTTCTTGCTTGTCGATCTTTGCACGCAAAGTGGCGATTGTCGAAAGATTTTCATTGATGTTCTTCGAAGCAGCGCCTTGAAGCTCTTCCTTCTACCACCCCACAGCACTCCCACTTCCTTGCACGCCCCTCTGATTGTCCTTCACCTTTTCTGGACGGGTGCTTGTCGTGGGAGTTATACAGTATGTACAGCAACAGAACAACGCACAATCAACGCACAACGCAACTTGAGGCCATGAAACGGAGCAGTGCTGCCGTGAAGTGGAGTCAGGTTGAGCTGAGTGACACGTTACAACATTGCATTACAAGACGACAAGAAAACAGGAGGCGCGAAGCGAGGAAAAGAGCAGAAACAGAGCCAGGTAAGTGGTACAATCATGTGTACGGCTCAGGCGCAAGAATAGCAGGAACAAGCACAAGGAGAAGGAAGAACAGAAGCGTCTATGGGTGAAGCAAATGGTGACGGATTGTGTTAAAACAACAAGAAGAGCAAAATAGACCTCAAGACGCTACTCTTTTGTTCTACACACTGCACTTCTTCGCCTGCTGCACAAGCTTCATGGCGGGACCCATTGCCACACCGGAGGCCCGAAGCGTCTGCTTTGTCAAGTCACCCTCGTGCACGAGCCCAACAAGAACCTCCAGGCTATCGATACCGTGCTCCACCAACGCGGCTTCGACGTGCGGTAGCAGCGAGTGGCGGTTGAGCCATTCAATTAACTCGGGCTCAAATGCAGGTGGCGGTGCGAAAGGTGTCATGACGGTGGAGGACGAGGAAGACGACTGCACGGCAGACAAGTTAGAGGGCTGAGTGAGACACAGCACGCGTGCCAAGCGGAAGAGAGAAAGCGCACGCTTGCATATCTGCAGACATGCAAACAGACACACACAGACACAAACACAGACACAGACACACACATGCACACACACACACAAAGCCATACCTGCGTGGAACGACGTGCAGTTGTTGGTGCCTGCGCTGCCTCGCTTCTCGCGGAGACGACGACCTGGCGCACCCTCTCTGCAATGTCGCGCAGCTGCGACGTACGGTCCACACCGGAATCCACCGCAATCACCGCATCAATGTCAAACAGAAACAGCACCACTTCACGCACGCTCTTGTGTTGCTGGGGTGGTGGGAGGTGCAGCACCTGAGAAAAGAACTGGTCCATCGCTGCTGCCGTCTTCTCACTCACAACATCCGGCAACTTCGTTGCCAGCCGCTTCAGGCGATCAAACGAGTCGTACTCGCTCACCTCTGCCGTGCTCATACCATGGTGACTGCTGTCGTGCCATCCACTGCCGAGGAAGAGCGGAACGATGCGGCGGAGGTGGATCTGGTCCTGGTGCTGGCGAGCAAGCTGCTGCAGCTCCAGCATGGCCATCCACTCCAACAAGACGTTATCGCACGTGTCAGTGTGGCCGAGCGAGCGCATCTGATGGATGGCACCCACGGAGACGACGGGGCAGGTGACAGTGCTGTTTTGCAGGGCTGTCACGCATGCGTGCTTGAAGTTGACGCCTGTCTCCAAGTTGTTGGCGTCCACAAAGGTCACCAGTCCGTGTTGCTCCAACTTTGGGTACAATGTCATCACCAAACCCCGGTTGCCGCGTTGCCTGTGACGTAGTGGTGAATATCGAAATGAGAAAGGAAGAGAGAGGCAAGGAAAGACACCCAGTTCGCACCGCACACACACACACACGCACACACACACACATGTCCCACCTGTAGCTGATGAAGGCGTCGTACTTGCTCTGCTGACCCATAACTGGCAAGAGTGGCCCATACTTGGCGACCAGATCCCCTGGTGACAGCAGCTGTGAGCGGCCAACGCGAAGCGCTTTCTTGTTCATGTGGTGGGTGTGCACGTCCTCGAAGAACAGCAGCCTTGTGTCATTAAATGGCAGCAGCAACGTGGCCTTGAGCTCGGGGTAGCGCTGCGTGACAGCTGTGGTGATGGTGTCGTACAGCATGTGCACCAGCGTGCGAGGACGTGCAGTCATGACCTTAATCTTGATGCCACCGACAGCCGGCACGAGCTGCATCTCGATCTCAGCAGCATCCATGAAGATCACGGCGTCTGTGCGGCTCAACATGGGCGGTTCCGTTGCACCATGCTGCATGTGTGCCATCACGCGTGCCAGAACCATCGTGAACAGCCCCTCTGGCAGGAAAGAGGCTTGCTGCGTGTCTGCAATCTTGACGCTTACACCCCTCTTGAACTCCCTCAGGCTGAAGGCGACGTAGGCTGTCTTCTCCTCAGATCCAACATACGGATTGGCCTGCTGTGCTGCTGCCGTGCTCAGCGTCACCGACGACGACGCCTGTTCATCCTCCAGCGTCATCGGCAGGATGGCTGGGACGAGGTATTGCTGCTGCTGTTGCTGTTGTTGCTGTTGAGGGCCGAACAGCAGCACCGTTGGTGCCGTGTACTGGATACACAGCCCGTACTCCATCATGAGTTGGAGAAAGGGCTCAACCATGCCACCTTCCAAGTCCCTCCACAACACCTCAAGTAGACGGCGATGCAGGATGCCACGGTCAATGAGGTCGTCCCATAGCTGTGCGCCAACGGCCCTCGCCTCGCTATCCCGCACGTCGTGATGCAGGTCAAAGTTACGGATGACGCGCGTCATCATGTCCACCGCCCACTGCGGGCTCAGGATCACATAGTCCTCCATGCCTGGCACACTGTCGTAGAACAGCACCATTGAGTACAAGTGCAGGAACTGCAGGCAGGCTCTCGTCTCCTGGCGTGTGCGCAGCCCACAGGTGCGTGCAATCTCCACCACCTCGTCAAACGTGAGCAGCGGGCGCTTCTCGTTGCGGGCAATGGCGTGGAGTTTGTCGTAGAGGTGGAGGTACGGCACCGCCACCTCCTGGCTCACGTACTCCTGCGCCAGTGCTGTGGAGGAGATGGTCTGGCGCAGGTCCTGGATCATGGGGTCATTGATGGACTTGGTGTTGTCGACGGGCCAGAACCACAGACCATGCTTGTCGTTGTGGACGACGCCAGGGAAGGCCGGGTTGTGGCGAAGGCGGCTGTAAATGTCGCGCGAGATGTTCTCGTGCTGCTTACGCTTGCTGACCACATCAGCAAAGGTGCCGACGATGAGGACGGGTGCACCCTTGGCGTGGAGGTGGAGGGAGGAGAGCCAGTGCTCCATAAACTCCCACGCCTCAGCTCGCTTGCTGGCATCTTGGTGCAGCAAGTCCTCCATCGAGAACACCAGCAGGTACACCGCGTACCTGGTGTGGGTTGCATGTGTGGTGAGGGTGGAATATATTGGGGTGAGTGAGTGAGGAGGCCAACACACACACACACACACACACACACACACACACACACACACACACACACACACACACACACACACACAGTGACCCACTTTGTGAGGAAGAAAGGGTGGAAGATGTAGAAGGTGGACTGGCCGCCCAAGTCAAACACCTTGAACGTGACCCTGGCTTTGCCCTCGCCAATGACGGCGTCCACGTTGAACTCCTTGATCGCTTTCTCCATTTCCTCCGCAGACATGCCGGTTGTGGCGGTGTTGTTGTGATTGCGGGCAGCAGCATCACTTTGGCTCGAAGAGTCCAGGGTGGCCTGCTTCTTGGATGCAGATGCTGAGTCATGAGATGCCTTGGTGGGTTTGGGGACGGTCGATGGCGACGTGTGTGAGGATGGACGTGGCCGCGTCTCCTTTGCATTCTGTAACTGCTTCTGCTTCAGCTTGGCAGCTGTTGCTTTCGGTGTCTTATCAGATTCCTGCTGCCGTTGTTGCTGTTGGTGTTGGGTGATGCGGCTCTTCAGGTCCGCCTTTGCCTTCATCATCGCCTGCTTCATCTGCAAGTCCACGCCCGATTCCTGCGCCAGCGCCGTGCCGCAGAGGCTGCGCATCAACTCCGAGATCTCCGCATCCAGCTCCTGCAAAGGTTGTGTGTGTGTGTGTGTGTGTGTGTGTGTGTGTGTGTGTGTGTGTGTGTGAGTGAACGCTTGTGCGAGGGGATGATCGTGTCAACCACCACCTCTCTTCACACCCATCGTCGCACACATCACATGCTCGCACCAGACAAGGGTACACACCTGCCAGTCGTGAATGTCCAAGGACTCAACAATGACGGTGAGGTCGGTTGAGGCGGCGCCATGCGTGGAGTGCTCATGTTTGTTGAACATGTGACCCATGAGCGAGTGGAACGTGGAAGTCTTGCCGGCGCGCCCCTGACCGATGAAGATGAGCTTGGCCCTGCCCGCCATGGTCGCGTTGAAGCGTGCTATGACCTCCCGCATGCGCTGCTGGAGACGCTCCCTGCGCGCCTGCTCGGGCTGCTGCTGCTGGTGGCGGTGGTGACGGTTGTGTGAGACATCATGATTATGCTTGATACGAGACCACGGAGAGCGTGATGAAGGAATGGTATGGGTGACGTGATGCATTTGCTTGTGCGTTGCAAGCAAGCACTTGTCTCATCACTCACGTCTTGCGCTGCTTGTTCTTCTTGCTTCGGTCCGGCGGCAGGAGTGGGCGCAGGTGGCTCTTGTTTTGGTTGTTGCTGTTGTTGTTGCTGTTGCTGTTGTGGTTGCTCCAAAGGCTTGCCGCCTGGCTTCAGCCCTTGGATGCTGGTGATGGCAGTATGACCGCTGGCTTGTGCCACATCATAGGGCGTCTCTCCCTGCGTGTGTTGGAAAGGTAAAACGCATGAGTTGAGGAAGGAGGGAAGCAGGGAGAGGGGGAGGACACAGCGCAAATCAAAGAAGCAGTTGTGTCACGTCTTCAGAAACAGCCACACGACGCGAAGCACACCTTCTTGTTTTTGACGGCAGTGTCTGCGCCTTTCTCGAGGAGCAGCTCCACGACGGCGGGCTGGTTGTGCCTGCAGGCAACGTGCAGCGGCGTGTCGCCCTGTTATTGGGTGGGGGGCAGCAAGGCGCATGGCACGTGTGGTGAGGATCTATTGAAAACGAACACACGGCCGGTGCAACCATGAGCGAGCACCGTTCACATACGAGCACAACACAAACACACACACACACATATTGCACACACCTGTGCATTATGTTGGTTGATGTCTGCATTGTCCTCGATGAGGGAGGTGACAGCGGGAGCGTCGCCATCCCTGCAGGCGGAAAACAGTTGCTCATGCTGCCGCTTCTTCTCCGCGCGTGCTTCGTCGAAGGCGGCCCTGCCCTCATCGTCGCCACTCCTGTGATCTCACGCGACATTGGACGCAAGCACCACGCAGCGTGTGTGTGTGTGTGTGAGGTGTCGAGAGAGAAGGCAGGGAGCAAACGACTAGAGTGGAAGCACGCGTTGACTGACCAATCCCCTGTGATGAGTTCTCGGTCGACGGGCAGCGCGGCACCAAAGGCGCGGGCAGTGGCGGTGGAGTTGTTCTCGATGCTGAACGAGGACACGTGGTGGTAGCGTGTGGTTGGAACAAGCAGCAAGTGCGGTGCGGTGCGTCAGGAGGGTTGGTGGTTAGGGTTGTGGAGAAATGCAAGCAAGCAGAGAGGAACACACAGTGTGGCGTGCACTCAAAGAGTGGCGATTGGTCACACAAATCTACAACAGGACACAGGCGTTCATGAGGCAGGCGCAACGCAATTGACGTACTCAAGCCGAGACATGGTGCGGTTCTGGTCCAGTGCGGCACCCAGCGCCGCACCGCCAACCGGGGTGATGGAGTTCTTGGTCAAGCTGCAAGTGGCAAGAAATGCATGTTGGAAGAGCAGGGGGAACGGGTGGGCAAGCAACACGTGTCAGTGTCATGGATAAAAGTGGGTTGCAGATGGACCACGTGCACGCGTACTCGCTCGCACATCAGGTCCTACGACATTGAAGTCACAATGGCGGAGGCAAAGGGGGGCAAATGCAAATTGCACAGGATGTGGCAGCACTTGTGGCAGCACAGGTGAAGGATGGAATCATTTGTTGGTTGGACAAACAAGCATGTCGCACAGACATCGTGGGTGGCTTGCGGTGCCTCCATCTGCACATGGGTACTGCGGAAGAAGCGCCTAAAGACACACATTGCAAAGAGGAGCTTCCACTCACTTGAGTATTTCGAGGGTCGTGTTGTGCTTCAGCACCTTCGCCAACGCCACGGCGCCCTCATCGCCGATGGAATTGTCCCACAGGCTGTCAAGATGATGTGGTGGATGCCACACAGGGGGATGATGCCACATGGGTGAGGAAGTGCGTGAGTGAGTGATGATGATTGCTGTGGATGGCAACACAGTCATCAATCCACACATGGGCACGTGATAAAGGTGCAGCGGCAGTGACGCAGCATACATGTGCATGTGTGCGTGTACACACTCACCCGAGCAATGTCATGGTCGTGTTGTGCTTCAGCATCTCCGCCAACGCCACGGCGCCCTCAGGACCGATGGAGTTGTATTGCAGGCTGTCAAGATGATGTGGTGGATGCCACACAGGGGGATGATGCCACATGGGTGAGGAAGTGCGTGAGTGAGTGATGATGATTGCTGTGGATGGCAACACAGTCATCAATCCACACATGGGCACGTAATAAGGTGCAACAGGCAGTGACGCAGCATACATGTACATGTGTGCGTGTACACACTCACTCGAGCCATGTGAGGGCCGTGTTGTGCTTCAGCATCTCCGCCAACGCCACAGCGCCCTCATCGCCGATGGAATTGTCCCA